TGAAGTTGTGGAGGGGGAGGAGCAGCAGAGGAGAAGGGAGGGGAGGAGCAGCATCAGAGGAGGAGCAGCAGCAGGAGGAGGAGCAGACAGAAAGTGAGGATGATATTTAACGTGGTTTTCAGTAGAAATTAAAACCACAGAGGGAGCCAATCCTCCTCCAGTCAGAGGCTTCATGCCGAGGAGTGGTGGCCCTCGGAGCCCTGCCCCCCCACAGACAGCTGCCCCTCCTCACAAGTCATGGTTTAAGATGGGACTGCAGAGAACCACAGACCGTTCCTTGAGAGTTCAGGTGTTGTCCTGCTGCATATCTTCACCTGTCTGACCATGCTTCAGTCTGTTCATCTGATTCAGGTGTGTTTATCTTTTTCATTGTTATCTTTGTAGTCATTTGATTCAGTGATCAGTTGTATCAGGTATCATTTTGATCAGTGATCATGCTGATCAGTTGTTGATTCCAGTAGTCTTTGATCAGTGATAGCTGGATAGGGTGATCCAGTATCTTTGATCATGATCAGCTGTCAGGTGATTCCTAGTTTTGTATTATCTTCAGTAGTCATTGATCAGTTTTGGTTTGATAACCAGTATCTGATTGATCGATTTAGAGGTCCATTTCTTAACAGAATTTTATTTAGGACCATAAATGTCTCAGAATTCCAGGATCAGATTCAGAACATATAAGTTATCTTCAGATGTGAGAGTTGACAGGTTTATTGATTATTTTCTATAATATTTCAGCTTTTTTACATCCACAGATTATAAATGAATCCTTCTCTCTCTATTCTCCCTGTGGCTGACTTGCGTATAACTTCTCTCTCTTATTCTCCTGGTGCTTGACTGCATATAGCTTCTCTCTCTCTCTTTCTCCCCCTTGGTGGCTGACTGCGTATAGATCTCTCTCTTCTCTTCTCTCCCCTGGTGGCTACTTTGCGTATAGACTCTCTCTCTTCTTCTCCCCTTGGTGGCTTGATGCAGTATTAGACTCTCTCTTCTCTATTCTCCCCCTGGTGTCTGACTTGCTGTTTGTTGTTTGTTCATTTTTATCATCAGTGGTTTTAATTCGGTATCAGAAGAAGATATAAAAAGAGGGTTTCACATCATGATTGACAGCTGAGCCCTGCTCGGTGTATGGACGGGACCTCGATTAGGTGGCGACTGCCCCGATCTCTACTGCACAGAGTCTGGCTCCGAATGGAGACAGATGGCAGTGGACGAATCCAGATATTCTGGTTCATTAGCACAGTGGGAGGCAGTGGAGATGGACATCTTCAGGGTTGGATTGCACCAGTGGAGCTTAATAATGACGCCTCGTTGACGGGTGACTGGGTGAATAAGATATCAGTGGTTGGTGTTCGTGTGCTGGTTTAATGTTAGTCTGAATGATCTCCAGCACAAACACTGAGGAGGAAAGTGAGTTTACTGAGCTCAGTACTCTGTTGTACCGGCTGTTACTGTCGGAAACAAAACTAAAACTACAAACAGCTCCAGTCTGTATCTCAGATTTATATGTTGGGAAGGTGATCAGCAAAAAATACCAATAATTCTCCTCAATAATTCTCCTCAGATGCTTCAAGTTTTTAAACAGTAAGCTGTAGAAAGTATATAAAATAATACACACATATACACAAATATATACACATGCACACATATACACAAATATATATACACGCATATACACATATACACATATATAATACATATACACCTCTCTCTGTTTGTCTCTCTCTGTCTGTCTGTCTGTCCCTTTCTTTCTGTCTGTCTCTCACCTGTCTGTAAGATATTGATCGTTTAAACACTGAATCACTGATTCCCCAGAAAGAGATTGAACCCCAGGAACAGATCTGTGTTGACCCTGAGGATCAGTTATGGATGATTTATTGATCAGTGACTGGATTGATCGGCCCTGATTCTGACAGACTGAAGCACAAACTTTGAACTGTGTTGATTTCTGTTTCCATCTGCTTTTACTTTGAAGAAAAAGACTCTTTGAGAACAGGAAGTGTGGTGGCGGTTGGACCGACCGATCGATCGGGTGGTTCAGGACTTCCTGTTAGAACGGATGCCTTATCAATAATCCTCAGACTGTCTACGGACACTCCAGAGACGTCAGCAGCGGAGCGAAGCTGATTGATTGTGCAATATGACAGCGGTGGTGTCACGCCTCAGGCTCCGCCTCCCACGGGAGAGCGTGGCCTGTCACTGTGATTCAGGTGCTCCTCGTCAGCTCGTTAACTTCAGATCTGTCTGCTGACCTGAGGTCTGTTTCCTGCGGTTGTATCAAACAGTTGATCAATCTGCATATCAGTTATTAAATAGCCAACATGATGTTATATATGGAAACCTTGAAAGGCAAATTTTGTTTTGTTTTCTTTTGTTAGGATTTTTTAAGGTTAAAAAAATGTTGTTTGTTTTTTTAACTACGGAAGCCCTGAGAGGACTTTTTTCCCTTCATTTTTCTGTTTTTAATGTCTCTGAAAACAAATCATTTCACCCATAGAGGCCCTGCTAGGCAAACTTTAATTTCAAAGGCAGAAAGGTGTGTTCAGGTGCACCAGGAGATTTTTTTAGACAAATGATCATGAGAAAAAAGTCAATTGGCCTTTCAGGGCGTCCGTAGAATTCAGTGCAAACTAAACAGAAAAACAAACGCTAAACGAAACAAAAACAGCTCACAGACAACCTCGTTAATAATCCTCAAATATAATATTTTCAATAATAATAATAAAAAAAAATGTCCTTTAATCTAAATTGTTAATCCTGTGTGAGAGACCATTAACACCAGCTGAGTACTGATGAGTCACTTGAATGCACCGTCAGCAGGTGATCAGGAGTGATCTACAGCCGGAGGAGGAGGCAGAGCCTGAAGTATGACATCAGCATCAGACTGGGGGGTTTTGGGGGTTTGTTTTTTTTTTTCTTCTTCGTGCCTCTCTGCTGGATGACTGTAGCCTCATTAGTCTATCTGAAACTCATCAAACTGTATTTAACTGTAAAACCAGTAAAACCAGTGCACAACAAGCTGTTTGCACACAAACTGTGTGAATGTCTGATCATTTGTGTCTGTCAGAGTTTATTAGAGTCACAGTCTGAACAGTGGAAACAGAGGATCAATAAAACCACATCTTCACAATAAAGTCCAAAACTTTCAAAATAAAACCTTCAAGGTCTGTTGTTGTTGTTATCAGAGAAACTCTCAAAATATGAGGCCTTTCATTGAATATTGCATCTTAAATCTATAATCTATGTAGTTGATTTTTCCTTGCCCCTGTCTCCAAGGTCTTGTTCATGGTGGTACTGTGGGTTCTCTGTATATGTTTTAAAAGATCGTCATGACTGGCTCATTATGAAAAGTTCCTGAAGATATAATTCTGTTAATGAGGCGCTATACCAATAAAATTCAATTGAATTCAATCAATAATCATAAACTGTATTCTATGTGAATATTGAATATATATTGAATACAGAATATTGATTATATTGATGATTGAATGCAGAGAATCAACTACAGCACAAACTGTCATCTAATTTTAGTTCAAACTCACTGACCTCAAAGTCGTCACGGGGGCTTTTCTGATTCACCTTCGCTTTCGTTCACAGGCTGATTGATTGCAGGATGTTTATGAACGATCAAATATTATTTCACAATATGATCAATATCCAAACTCTGTCAGCATTATGATAAAGTTCTGTAGTCAGACTGCAATGCAAACATCAAAGTGAGCCAACAGGGAGTCCGGAATAAAAGAATAAGAACCAGGGCGCCTGGTTAGCTCAGTCGGTAGAGCTGGCGACCCACATACGGCGTTGCTGCAGCGACCCGCGTTCGAATCCGACCTGCAGCCCTTTGCTACGTGTCATCTCCCCCCCGTTCCTGTCAATCTTCAACTGCTCCTATCATTAAAGGCCAAAAAACTAATAACTTTAAAAGAATGAGAACCTTGTCGCAGTTTGACCGTTCTGATCGGCGCTCTGATCGATGTTCGAATGTATTGGCGTATAAATGATTGAACTTTAGATCGATTCGGAGTTGATCCTGAATTCAGGGCGTTTGGTGCAACAACAGGAGTTCTTGAACATTTTAGATACAACTGAATTTGACATTTTTTAACAAAAAAAAGAATAAATGGATTAAAGTATTTTGAGTTGTTAGAGTTCCACCTTGAGGTCAGTCAGTGTCACTTGCTTGCTCATGGTGGTACTGT